CGGCGCTACGCTCGTTGTTGTGAGCATTGCTCCTCCGCCCTCCGTTGTTTTTGGAGGGCGACTGCCTCCAACTGCTCAGTAGCGTCCTTCACGAGCCTCCTCCACAGAGGCTGATCTTGACACCGCTGGTACCAGTCATCGGCAAGTCCACTCAGCTCCACATCCTCTTATACCACATCACTCCGTCTCTTCTATAACCCGTGCCATGCCCGTTTAGCCCCCTCGATCTGGCTCACCGATGGAACTTTGTCCAGATCTTTCAAGGATTTGTGAGCTCTTCACACAATCCAGCCTGGTTAAACCCAGGATGGATCGAAGGCAGACCAGCCTAAATTTGTCTTGCCGGCCAAGATGTTCCATTAGGGGGGTCGACGTTTCGTAAGCGTAGAGAAGAGAGGGAATGACTATGGCTGAGAAGACCTGAAGCTTCCTACGGAGCGACAAACCAGGTAGCTTCCACACAGCGTTACGCAACCGATGAAAAGATAATGCCGCTCGACTGATTCAGAGTGAGACCTCTGCTGTCAAACCAGAGCCGGTCATAAGCACACTACCCAGGTGTGGGAAACTCTCCACTCTCTCCACAACTGCCCTATTACCCAATTGGTGATGTGGGGGTGATGTGGGGGTGGAGTGTCCGATGGTACAAAATAACCAGGCAGGTGCTTAGTTTTGGTGGGGCTGATGGTAAGGCCCCACCTCTTAGTGGCAAGCTCCAGGTTCAGGTTCTGAGTGAGCGGCAATTACCAGATCGGCATACATCACATGGTTGAGCAATAGGGAGCCATCCCTTGACCGCACCCGGGCATCGAGCAGCCTCCCATTGTATCTGTACCAGATGGAAATTCCTCTGGTACAGCTATTGAAGGCTTCACGAACTACGTGGTCGAAATAGATTACTAATATAATGTCCGTGTGTAACGCGCGTGACGTCACTCCACGTCGAGCAGCCCGCCTCATTAATAATCATGAACAGGTGACGTCCTCCACATAGACCCCCCCCCCCCCCCCATTATTAATAATCATGAGCGGGTGACATCACTCCGCATGGAGCACCCCCCCCATGAACAATCATGAGCGGGTGATGTCACCCCACATGGAGCACACCCCCCCCCCCCTCAATAATAATCACGAGCAGGTGACGTCCTCCAAATGGACCCCCCCCTCATTAATAATCATGAGCTAGTGACGTCACTCCACATGGGGGAGATGCCCCCTCCCCCCTCCTCAGCGTCAACTTACAACCCTCACTACAAAGGCAGAACAAAGGCAGAACCCTCACGTCACGTGATCTCCGTCACGCTGTTGAGACGTAGAAGTAAAAAGGACGTCATGTTGAACAAGGGATTATAACCTTTAAATTAAATAAGTCTGTGTCACCGCGGCCTTACAAATTGCAAACGAATGGATGCAATGAATATGACGTCGCAATCTGCTTTTCCCTTGAATGTTTCAGATTTACTGCAATACACCCGTCCTTGGACGGGCTATAGGCAAGTGTTAAATAATGTGGGAGCCAGAGGACATCCCTGTCGGACCCCAAGGTGAACAGGGAATGGTTCTGACTCCCGGCCACGTAGTTTTACCCGGGCCCGCTCACCATCATGAAGGTCCTTAATGATCGTGAGCAGTGGGTCAAGGACTCCGAAAGCGCGAAGAACAATCCAGAGCCCAGGCCTACTGATGGTATCATAGGCCTTGACCAGATCAATAAAGCAGAGATGTAAGTCTTGTTGGAATTCCCTACACCTCTGCTGTAGCAGAAGGACAGAAAATATGGCATCTGTGCAGGACTGTCCTGGCCTGAAACCGCATTGGGGCTCCGCAAGCCTCTCCTCAGCGTGCCTGGCAAGGCGATGTTGAATAATCCTTGCCAGGACCTTTCCCGGCACACTGAGGAGTAAGACGCCTCTGTAGTTGTTACAGTCTGTAGTTGTTACTGGCTGATGCTCCACCTCACACGCACTCACACTCCAGAACGGGGAAAGAGAACAGATAAACTCTACTCCCTCTCACACTTACTCACTCATACTCACTTAATCACACCCTCTCTCACTCACATACACACTCTACTCATTCTCACACAACACTCACTCACACTGCAGAAACACGTTGAGAGAACATGCAAACTCCATATCGTCGGGGATCGAACCTGGGAACTCCTTGCTCTGGGACGCAAGTGTTACCACGACGCCACCCTACCCTAAACCCAGACCCGCTCTCACTCAACGCTCCGCCATACGATGTATTAACGTGTTGGGAATTCGTTTGCGGTGTGTGACAGTAAGGTTCAGTGTTTCACTTTGTGTAAGTAAGTGCGTGTGAGTAAGGCTGTTAAGCGCTCACATTGTAAGTGCGTGTGAGTAAGGCTGTTAAGTTTACACGTTGTGTGTAAGTGCGTGTGAGTAAGGCTGTTAAGTTCTCACGTTGTGTGTAAGTGCGTGTGAGTAAGACTGTTAAGTTTACACGTTATGTGTAAGTGCGTGTGAGTAAGACTGTTAAGTTCTCACGTTATGTGTAAGTGCGTGTGAGTAAGACTGTTAAGTTCTCACGTTATGTGTAAGTGCGTGTGAGTAAGACTGTTAAGTTCTCACGTTATGTGTAAGTGCGTGTAGTAAGGCTGTTAAGTTCTCACGTCATGTGTAAGTGCGTGTGAGTAAGACTGTTAAGTTCTCACGTTATGTGTAAGTGCGTGTAGTAAGGCTGTTAAGTTTACACGTTATGTGTAAGTGCGTGTGAGTAAGGCTTTTAAGTTTACACGTTGTGTGTAAGTGCATGTGAGTAAGGCTGTTAAGTTTCCACGTTGTGTGTAAGTGCGTGTGAGTAACACTGTTAAGTTTTCACGTTGTCTGTAAGTGCGTGTAGTAAGGCTGTTAAGTTCTCACGTTGTGTGTAAGTGCGTGTGAGTAAGGCTGTTAAGTTTTCACGTTGTAAGTGCGTGTAGTAAGGCTGTTAAGTTTTCACGTTATGTGTAAGTGCGTGTAGTAAGGCTGTTAAGTTTACACGTTATGTGTAAGTGCGTGTGAGTAAGGCTGTTAAGTTCTCACGTTGTGTGTAAGTGCGTGTGAGTAAGGCTGTTAAGTTTACACGTTGTGTGTAAGTGCGTGTAGTAAGGCTGTTAAGTTTACACGTTATGTGTAAGTGCGTGTGAGTAAGGCTGTTAAGTTTACACGTTATGTGTAAGTGCGTGTGAGTAAGGCTGTTAAGTTTTCACGTTGTCTGTAAATGCGTGTAGTAAGGCTGTTAAGTTTACACGTTGTGTGTAAGTGCGTGTAGTAAGGCTGTTAAGTTTACACGTTATGTGTAAGTGCGTGTGAGTAAGGCTTTTAAGTTCTCACGTTGTGTGTAAGTGCGTGTGAGTAAGGCTGTTAAGTTTACACGTTATGTGTAAGTGCGTGTGAGTAAGGCTGTTAAATTTTCACGTTGTAAGTGCGTGTAGTAAGGCTGTAAAGTTTACACGTTATGTGTAAGTGCGTGTGAGTAAGGCTGTTAAGTTCTCACGTTGTGTGTAAGTGCGTGTAGTAAGGCTGTAAAGTTTACACGTTGTGTGTAAGTGCGTGTGAGTAAGGCTGTTAAGTTTACACGTTGTGTGTAAGTGCGTGTAGTAAGGCTGTTAAGTTTACACTATGTGTGTAAGTGCGTGTAGTAAGGCTGTTAAGTTTTCACGTTGTGTTTATCGATTTGTGTTGTCACCGCAACGTGGCACTGACATTTCCTCACGCACGTTTCTCTAAAACATTTCTCCTGCACGGTATCCACGCCGCAGCATGCTCCGCCCGAAAGACTTCCGACCCGAATACGGGTTGGGAGCCGCTACTGCAGACGCAAAACACCTCGTCCGTCATCATCATCAGCAGCCGTGCTCGATCCACTGCTAGACAAAGGCCTCTTCAAGCCATCACCACCACCTCTCACGATTCCGCGATGCCACAATCCACCCAGCAGGTGTACACGGGGGAGCTGATTTCCTCGCTCCATCTCCGAGGTGCACCTCGCCTTGACTACCTTCGTGGACTGAGAACGCCGACTAACGGTGACGATGAACGCCATCATCACCATATGCCATGAAACTGTTCATCTCGGTGCCAATCATCACACGGTCGCTATCACACCGCCTGAGTCAACTCCTGGCGAGTGTGGCAGATCTCCACCACCGCCGCCGTCACACTCCTGCTCGCTAATTCCCGTAATGAGCTTCGCTAATTGCAGTAATGAGTGGCTGCACGCGTCAGAGCTGGGAGGGGGGGAATCTTTGTCTTTGTTGTGTGTGGGTGAGTGGGTGAGTGTGGGTGTGTGGGTGAGTGTGTGTGGGTGAGTGTGGGTGTGTGTGTGGGTGTGTGGGAGAGTGTGAGTGTGGGTGTGTGTGAGTGTGGGTGTGTGTGGGTGAGTGTGTGAGTGTGTGTGGGTGAGTGTGTGAGTGTGGGTGATTGTGTGTGGGTGAGTGTGGGTGTGTGTGGGTGAGTGTGTGTGTGAATGTGGGGAGCGGTAGTGTAGCGGTTAGTGCGCTGCGCAATGAACCTGGCGACCCGGGTTCGATTCCCGCTCACGGCCAACACCAGTGACGATTATCTGAACCTGTCCCGGGCCTCCCCTAGGTCGACTCAGCCATTAAACCAGTGGTTCTAAACCTGGGGTGCGAGACATTGCCAGATTTTTTTTTAGACGGTAAATCATCGAAACAAAAAAATAAGCGCTGGCACGTCAGTAACAACGACGACTTTGTTTCATCAAACCCATTAACATTAGACATTGTTTACGATCGAGAATCAAAGGGTTGCAAGTAAAGGGTTGAGAATCGCTGCTCTAAACGACTGCCTGGTGCTGCTGTGTGTCCAGGCGTCGTTCGCAATGGGCAGGATCGCGGCCACCACCACCACCCCACGTCCTCACAGACCCCGCCCACTTGGCTCGCTAGCCCCGCCCACTTGACTCGTTGGCCCCGCCCCCCGCTCTCAGCCCTTCTCTTAAATAAGCCCCCCCCCCCCCAGCTCCTCGCTCCTCCAGTCACTGAGGTGGCGTCTCTTCACCCTTCTTAATAGCAACGATAATTATTGTAACAACTATGATGATGATGATACAGTATCTCGATAAATAGCACAGAAAACAGGAGTCACGTGGCACCGTTCATTCCATCCAATTCATTCTCTGGTGGGGAGTGAGTGAGTGAGTGAAGGGGCATCAGTGGTGCCGGCGACGTCGACGATGCGGTGATGGTTGATGGAGGGAGCCGAACGATGGCACAGTTTGTTTAAGAGTGACGCTCTCTTCACAATCCTAACCCCGAGTCATCTCCCTCTCGAACGACACAAGACGACAACGGCACAGAGAGACACAACGGAGGTCTCTGTTGAGACTCTGAAGCGAGACGACATTTATATCAAGACACCTTAGAGTCTCCGGACCTGGGACCCACACACGGGACATCGTCGACCCAGCGACCCAGGTGAGAGGATGTCCTTGGCCGCGATGTGACGATATCACGTTTAGTCACACGATATAAGGTCCACGATATTACAGCGGGGGTGTTAGCTCATTAGAGACCAGGAGTAGACATTACAATTGTGTGTGTCCCACCTTTTTCAAAGTATACACGCGAGTGAGATGACGAGAGAGACAGACGATATTATATTTCGTGGGATTCGCACCCTGTACCCCATGTGCCATGAAAGAGCATTGCCCGAAACGTCTATTATACATTTAATTTTGAGGCGACACGAAGTGCTACTGACACGCAAAGGGCTGAATTGGTAGTCTGTGCACCGTCACTGCCAACGCAGCAGCAGCGTCACTAGATACTTTGTTTAATCGCGAGGTTCAAGAAATGTCACTAAATTGTCGATTAATGGGAGTCGAGAGATGCACAGCCGTATCGAGAGAGTCGTGGAGGTGAGAGATGGACCCCGATAAGAGCAGGGAGGGGATACCGTATGGAGCGTAAGGCAACGACAAAGATCCCCCGTATAGCCTGGAACAGTATGTTTGGGCAAGTGCTGTTAGCGAGTACCCATGAAGGCCGGCACGGCACACGAGGGGGTGGGTGGCCAGCACCACGCTGGGCCGCCTTTGTCTCCCGAGTGGCGATGTTTACACACCGCACCAGGTACTCATATGAGGCTGAGTCGACCTAGGGGAGATCCAGGACCGGTTTAGGTAATCGTCACTGGTATGTATGTTGAACTTCGTTCGCACCGTACGTAGCCAACCGTGGTAATCGGAGGTGCGGTGTTGGCCGTGAGCAGAAATCGAATTCGGATGGTCGGGTTCGGACCGTAACGCTACCGCTTCCCATATACACTCACCTACTCAATCACCCACGACCCCACTCATTCACCCGCCTACTGACCACACTGCAGGTAAACTCACCCCTCACACCGCTCCACCCGGGAATTCCCTCTCTCCATCATCGTCGTCACAACCATCGTCTCTTCTCCCCAGGTCGCTCTGCTCACCTTGCTCAAGGACCATGTTCACTCCTATTCTGTGAGCGCGTTTGTTCGGTCCCGACCCTGACGCCTGCTGCTGCTGCTGTATATTTGGAGTTTGCGCGTCTCTCTCCCTGCTGTCGCGTGGATTTTTCTCCGAGTCCTCTGGTTTTTTCCCCCCACGTTTAGAATCAACGTCACGCGTTTATGATATTCGGCTGCTATAAATGCCCGCACGATGACAAGCCACCTTTGTTGCGCTATCATTTGTGTGGCCTGATCGCTCCTGAAAAAGAGCTCCCTAGCCCAGTGGGCCTTAACTGGTAAAAAAATAGTTTAGTTAAAATTATACCGCGGCCCCCCCTCGGAAAGACGCAGCACCGCTTCCTCGGTCGGGCAGGCGAGATTCGTGGTTACATTTTCCAGCGGCCGCCCTGGTTAATACAGCCGTGTGGTTTTACAGTGATAAAACTACGTGCCGTCTGTATCACTCTAAACTGGACGTTTTATTTTATTTTACCAGTCAAGGGCCCACTGAGCTCAATAGCGACCTGGCTATCACAAATAATAGCTCGACGAAGTGGCTTATTATGACGTGGGCATTTATAGCAGGAGCGAAACACTCTAAACGCGTGATGTTGATTCTAAATGTGGAGTGAAAAAACCGGAAGACCCGGGGGAAAACCCTCGCGACCACGGGGAGAGACGGAGAGAGAGAGAGACGCAAACTCAAAATATACAGCAGCAGGCGTCAGGGTCGGGATCGAACCCACGACCTCCTGTACACCAGGCGAGGGAGTTAACATCTCCTGGCCACCGTGGCGCCCCAACTCACAGTGGACGTTACAGATCCCGTGAGAGTAGCTCACTGTGGGTCGGCGTCTAAAATTTGCCACCAAAATTTGCCAACACTCGAAAAAGTGGCATCGCATTTGACTCGGGTGGAATCTACTACACAACAGCAGCAAGCAGCAGCAACAGTGGCAACAACAAGCAGCAACATCAGGGGCAAGCAGCTGCAACAGTAGTGAGCGTGTAAGCGAGTGAGTGTGTAAGTGAGCGAGTGTGTGTGTGTCAGTGTGCAAGTGAGCGTGTAAGCGAGTGAGTGTCAGTGTGCAAGTGAGCGTGTAAGTGAGTGTGTGTCAGTGTGTAAGTGAGCGTGTAAGCGAGTGTGTGAGTGTGTGTCAGTGTGCAAGTGAGCGTGAAGCGAGTGAGTGTGTGTCAGTGTGTAAGTGAGCGTGTAAGCGAGTGAGTGTGTGTCAGTGTGTAAGTGAGCGTGAAGCGAGTAAGTGTGTGTCAGTGTGTAAGTGAGCGTGAAGCGAGTAAGTGTGTGTCAGTGTGTAAGTGAGTGTGTGAGTGTGTGTGTCAGTGTGCAAGAAGAGCGTGAAGCGAGTGTGTAAGTGAGCGTGTAAGCGAGTGTGTGTCAGTGTGTAAGTGAGCGTGTAAGCGAGTGCGTGAGTATGTGTGTCAGTGTGCAAGAAGAGCGTGAAGCGAGTGTGTAAGTGAGCGTGTAAGCGAGTGTGTGTCAGTGTGTAAGTGAGCGTGTAAGCGAGTGAGTGTGTGTCAGTGTGTAAGTGAGCGTGTAAGCGAGTGAGTGTGTGTCAGTGTGTAAGTGAGCGTGTAAGCGAGTGTGTGTCAGTGTGTAAGTGAGCGTGTAAGCGAGTGTGTGTCAGTGTGTAAGTGAGCGTGTAAGCGAGTGTGTGAGTGTGTAAGTGAGCGTGTAAGCGAGTGCGTGAGTATGTGTGTCAATGTGCAAGTGAGCGTGTAAGCTAGTGTGTGTCAGTGTGTAAGTGAGCGTGTAAGCGAGTGTGTGAGTGTGTCAGTGTGTAAGTGAGCGTGTAAGCGAGTGAGTGTGTGTCAGTGTGTAAGTGAGCGTGTAAGCGAGTGAGTGTGTGTCAGTGTGTAAGTGAGCGTGTAAGCGAGTGAGTGTGTGTCAGTGTGCAAGTGAGCGTGAAGCGAGTGAGTGTGTGTCAGTGTGTAAGTGAGCGTGTAAGCGAGTGAGAGTGTGTCAGTGTGTAAGTGAGCGTGTAAGTGAGTGTGTGTCAGTGTGTAAGTGAGCGTGTAAGCGAGTGTGTGTCAGTGTGTAAGTGAGCGTGTAAGCGAGTGCGTTAGTGTTTGTCAGTGTGTAAGTGAGCGTGTAAGCGAGTGCGTGAGTATGTGTGTCAGTGTGTAAGTGAGCGTGTAAGCGAGTGAGTGTGTCAGTATGGAAGTGAGCGTGTAAGCGGGTGCGTGTGTACTCACTTAAGAGACTGTGTAAACATAGGCGAGATAAGGTGTGTGTGTGCGAGTGTGCGAGTGTGTGTGGGGAGCGGTGGCGCAGAGGTTAGCGCGCTGCGCTAGGAACCCAGGGACCCAATTCGATTCCCGCTCACGGCCACCAAACACCAGTGACGATTATTATCTGAACCGGTCCTGCGCCTCCCCTAGGTCGACTCAGCGTCAAATGATGCTGCCCCCCCCCCCCCTCGTGTACTCGCTATCAGCACTTGCCCCAAGAGTCTGCTAAGGCTATACGGGGGATCTTTGTCTTGTGGGGGGGGGGAGAGTGCTTTGCTTGGAACTTGGTTGCTTGCTCCAGACGAAACGTCAACAATTTGAGCCAAAAACAGCACGAGACAGGGAGGGGTGTAGCGGGGAGGGGTGTAGCGGGGAGGGGTGTAGCGGGGAGGGGTGTAGCGGGGAGGGGTGTAGCGGGGAGGGGTGTAGCGGGGAGGGGTGTAGCGGGGAGGGGTGTAGCGGGGAGGGGTGTAGCGGGGAGGGGTGTAGCGGGGAGGGGTGTAGCGGGGAGGGGTGTAGCGGGCACCCGGAGACTAAGTTCGATTCCCGCACCTAGCTCGACTTATATCGCCACATGATGCGTCACAAAGACAATGGGGAGACAAAGGCGGATGGGCGTGGTGCCGTGCCGACCTCAATGCGGTGTTTGTGTGCTCGCTCCCAGCACTTGCCCCAACAATCTGGTGAGGCTATAACGGGGGAGCTTTGTATTTGTATTCATTTTTTTCTCTCTATATCAAATGAGTGAGCACTGGTGAGCGTACGTAACGGTGAGCGTGTGTCATGGTGAGTGTGAGTATATTGTATGTAATAGTATATAATACTGTACATATAAATTGTCAGTTTATTTAATAGTGAGTGTATTAATTATGAGTGTGAATGTATTTAGTTAATAAGTATGTCATGGTGAGTCTATATAATGATAAGTGTACGTATTAATCGTTTGTGCTATGGTGAGTGCATAGGGTGAGTGTGTATGATGGTGAAAGTGAATGGTGGTGGGGAGCGGTGGCGCAGTGGTTAGCGCACTGCGCTACGAACCCGGCTATCCGAGGTCGATTCCCGCTCACGGCCAACACCAGTGACCAGTATCTGAATCAGTTCTGGACCCTCACCAAGGTCGACTCAGCCTTAAATGAGTATTTGTTGTAAACATCGCCACGGGGAAATTAACAGAGGCGGTCGGGCGTAGTGCTGGCCACCCACACTCTCATATACTGTTAAGAGGCTATATGGGGGATCTTTTTCTTTGTATGCTGGTGAATGTGTATAATGGTATGGTGGAAAGTGCGTATGGTGAGTGTGATGGTGAGTGGGTGAGTGTGATGGTGAGTGGGTGAGTGTGATTGTGGGAGAGTGTGATGTGAGTGTGATAGTGAGTGGTTGAGTGTGATAGTGGTTGAGTGTGATTGTGGGAGAGTGTGGGTATGTGAGTGTCATTATGAGTGTGATGGTGAGTGGGTGCGTATGATGGTGAGTGGATAAGTGTGATGGTGAGTGTGATTGTGAGTGGGTTAGTGTAATGATGAGGCTGATGGTGAGTGGGTGAGTGTGATGGTGAGGTGAGTGGGTGAGTGTGATGAAGAGCGGATGAGTGTGATGGTGAGCGGGTGAGTGGGTGAGTGTGATGGTGAGGTGAGTGGGTGAGTGTGATGAAGAGCGTATGAGTGTGATGGTGAGCGGGTGAGCGTGATAGTGAGCAGGTGAGTGTGATGGTGAGCGGGTGAGTGTGAGCGGGTGTGAG